GGTAATTTTGAGTCAATCACCAGGAGACGGTGAGTTCTAGTCCTGCCTTAGCCATCAAAACTGGCTGGGCCTTTTCCTCTCTTTCAGTCTAACCCTAAGGGATTGTAGGGAAAATAGGAGAAAGGGGTATTAGACATCTTTGCCTCATAAAAATACTAAAGGCAGGGCATGAAATAAACTCCACTTCTCCGACTGCCGTTTGGGACCCATGGAGCTGGGAATTATAGGTGTTGTAGTAGACATCCTTCCAAGTTATCTCTTTTAGTATTTAGTGTTTATTTGATTTGTCGTTTGCTTACAAGATACAGGTATAAGAATAAACGTAGTTTTGAATACATGAGATAGATTCTTATAAGAAAAATAAAAAGAAACAATAGGAGAGGGACGGTAGGCACGTTGGTGCGCTTATGCACGACCCCTACAGACCTCTTAGGAAAGGGGTGAGGTCCATAGTAGATAGTCTAAGGTTAAAAGTTTTTGGGGTTCGGGAAAGAAACCACAGAGTCAGGTAGAGGATTCCAGACATTGACCACTCTGTTGCTGAAGTCTTTGGAAGGATAGGATGGATCAAGAGCTAACATATACACCAGGACTGAATTTGGATATTTGGAATGATTTGGAATCTTTGGGATTTGGATATTTGCAGTTAGAGATCGAGGCGGGTTAATAAACGTCTGAAATAAATAAACTTTCCTTTCCAGGGAGTGACCGCAGCTAGAATTGTATTTGCACCAAAAATTGGAAAAAAAATGAAAAGATTCCAACAGAAGAGAATGTGATTATTAGAATGTGCAGAAATGAACAGATTAACACTTGCAGTTGAAAAGAAGGAACAGGCTGAATATTATCAGATATGGGAACTATTTTATCAATGGCTAGAGAAAAAAAAATACGAAAGCTAGAAATAATTGTTAGGCCCGGGAAAAATACTAAAAAAAAATATGTTACTAGAAGTGAATACGTTAAGAAGACCAATGTGCAAATAATAGAAATAATTTGTATACCAATATGACAAGAATAAGATAAGAATAGAGAATTCATATTAAAATAATGAATACGGTTGTCAAATTTAACTGTCACGGCACAAGATTTTTGTATCCAGACGGCGCGCCGTTAAATGGAAGATGAATTGAATGTATGTATTTTGAACAACATTTAAAAAGTGACTGAAATAAAATAAACCTTTTTCCCCACCTGGGATGGCCCTGCGTGTCTGCCCCTCTCTTCTTCAGCTGCTATCTCAGGAGCCGAGCAACGGCCTCTCCTCTGACCCCACCGTGCCCCTGGACCGCCTCGCTGTCATATTTAGGTAAGCACCTGGAGTTGGGATGAGGTGGGGTGTCCGAATGCCAGGGCAATAGTTTCTTTGACGCCTCCCCCTCCGTGTCTTAATGGCAGCGTGTCTTCAACGGTTTGCCCTAAGGCCGTGATGGTGAACCTATGGCACGCGTGCCACAAGCTGGCGTGCAGAGCCATTTGTGCGGGCACGTGAGCCCCGGCCAAACTTACCTGCACTGCGCATGCGTGCACCTCCCAGCTGATTTTCGGCCCGTTGGAGGCCATTTTCACCCTTCCGGAGGTTTGAGGGAAGCCTCCGCAGCCTTTGGAGGCCGAAAAACGGGCCCGTTTCAGCACTTCCGGTATTTCCAGAAAGCCTTTTTTTCAGCCTCCCAAGGCTGCAGAGGCTTCCCTCGAGCCCCCAGGAGGGAGAAAATGGCCTCCAACGGGCCGAAAATCAGCTGGGAGGCGCATGAATGCGCAGTGAAGGTAAGGGGGTGGGGTGTTGCACGCGCAGGGGAGCTGCGTTGCATGGTGGGTGGCGGCACGCCTGCGCTTTTGGCACACCACAACCTGAAGGTTCCCCATCGCTGCCCTAAGGAGACCGTCCCGGTTTTTAGAAAGTATGTTTTAGAAATTATCCCAGTTTTAGAAGTTAGCTTCCCTTGAGTGGGGCATTGCTTAAGTGCTTGATTCAAGGAATCACTCATTCCGGCGGCGAAGCTAGTGGTGAACAGCAGCCCAAGAAGATGCTGATGAGAGGGTAAACCACTTGTACATCAGCAGAGAGCCAAGCCCACTCCGTTCTGCCCCTGATGGTGTCGCCTAGTTGGGTCGTGAAACGTCTGCAAGAAAGCAGTCAAGCTCAGAGGCCACCAAGGACCCCACAGTCTTCCTCCTCCTCCCCCCCCTCCTCCTCCCCCCCCTCCTCCTTCCCCTCCTCTCCACAAACCCGATTCCCTTCT